AATTAATTTTAATTTTAATTAATTATCATATTATAACAAAATTTCTTTATTTTTTTTAATAGTAAAATAAATAAAATAACAACTTATCTCCGAATCGTTAATTTCAAAGTAAATAAAAAAATCTATTATTTTAAAGAGTACTACTTCTGTCATAAAATAATACTTTATTCATTTAATTTTAGTAAATTTATTTTTTTAATAAAATAAGGAAGTGATAGTCTATATGTATATATAAAATGCTACCCTATACATTAAATAGAATCAACATTTTATATATATACATGCCCAGCTCAATTCAAATTCTTCTTTTCATTAGTTATCACACAATTAATTTTAATTAATTAATACTAAAAATAAACTTTGTAACAGATACACTTTCTCGTCATATACCATCATTGACATCACATACCATAGAGGCATGACCACTTTCCTCTCCTATAAATTCCCCCTCTGCCTCCAATTTCTTTCTTCATACAATTCTCTATTCTCTGCTAACTGCCTTAACTTAAGTCAATATTCAAGGAAAAAAAAAAGTTTCAGTAAATGGGTAAGGTGAGTTTGCTGCATTCTTTTTCTTGTCTTATCTTCCTCTATGAATCTTGAAATTTACCTAGATTTGGACTTAATTGTTTTATTCGGTATTCGACGCAAAAAGGAGAAAGCTAAGCCTGCTTATGCCAGCAACGAAGATAAAAAAAAGCTGACAAGAAAAAGAAACCCGAGGAGAAAAATGAAAGGAAGAAAGCAACGGGTGAAAAGAAGGAAAAACATGGCAGAAAGAGGGGAATTTTGGTGGGATTTGTTGGTGTTAAGCTTTAGCTCCAAATTCCAAGAAAAGAGAAAGTATAATACTTTTTTTATAAATTTGATTTTTTTTAGAGAGTAGACAATTAATTACTTGATCATATATATTATTGATAGATATAAATTTATATGTCTGATATTTTGTAGTTAAAACCATATTGAACTACAAAATAATAGTTAAAACCATATTGAATTACAAAATAATAAAATAATAGTCATTAGATGAGTATTTTTTTAATTTAATATTTAAAAAATATTTTACAATTTAAATTATTTTTAATTATAAAACATTAACTATTT